CCAGCACCACCGATTCCACCTGCTGTTCTTTGATTGACACTACTTAAAGCATTTACATCGGCATTTACTTGAGGATCCACATTAATTAAATTGGACACTTGGTTGTTATTCCCTTGAATGTTAGAGCCTGTATCCACTGAAAAAAGGAGGAAATTCTGTGGATCTGCAATCATAAACTATTGATATTTGTTACTTACTCTGTTGCCTGCCACCTATGTTGTTAGCTGAACCTTCTACAGCGCCAAGTGCACCACCAAGCAGTCCGCCACTTGCACCGCCGCCTATTACATCGGATATGGTTTGTGTAACAGAACTGAGCAGATTCACACCAGCATTAACTTGTGGATTGACATTGGCGAGACTCGAAACAGTGTTGCCATCACCAACAATACGATTACCTGAAGATTCTGTAGGGAAGATAATAGTTTGCTTGAACAAATTCTTCAAAGAAGGTAACTTTTTTGAAATATTTGCTAATGCACATTAAATCCTCGCTTCAAGCGGTCTCAAAAGCCTAGTGTGTAGAGGATCAATGTCTTTCGGAATCACTAGTAGAAATAAATACGTATTACTAGTCACTACTTACGAGCTTGGCTACCACCTAAATTGTTTCCAGCACCGCGCGAGCCAGCTGTTACTGCACCGTTAGCTTCACCTGGTGTACTTTGGTTGACAATATTTAGAGCATTCACGACTTGCTGGCCGCCGATATCGTTGGCCGCACCACCCAAGCCGCCAACCACATCGCCTAAAAGTCCATTAGTTGCGCCACCAAGTACGCCGCCTAAAACTCCACTCGTTGCACCACCAAGTACGCCACCTAAAAGTCCACTAGTTGCGCTACCTAGTACGCCGCCTAAAAGTCCACCACTAGCACCGCCAGCCACACCAGAAACGGTTTGTGTTGCTGAACTTAGAAGATTCACGCCAGCATTGACTTGAGGATTGACATTGACGAGACTTGAAACAGTGTTGCCATCACCAACAATACGATTTCCTGTAGATTCTGCAGGGAAGAGAATATTTTGCTAGAATCAATTCTTCATAGAAGATTACTATTTTCAAATATTTTGAATGTTTTGAGGTGGGTCAATATTTTCAGACGATGTCCGCTCGTACTCATGCCCATAAAATCCTCCCTTCAAGGCTCAATTTCTTTCATAATTACTAGTTAATATAAATATTACTAGTCACTACTCACGAGCTTGACTACCGCCAATATTATTTCCAGCTGTTCC